CTGTTTTATTTTTTATTTATTTATTTATTTATTTTTTATTATTATTATTATTACCAACTTGAAAATTTGAAGTTCAGGAATTTAATCTTTCGTGGTTATAGGTGAGAATTTTCTTTTTCTTGTTTTTGTTCTTCTTGTTCTTCTTCTTGTTCTTCTTCTTGCTCCTCTGTCTTCTACTTCTTCTTTCATTTGACAACAATAATTCTTCATTTTTCAGTTTCTAATTTTATATATAGAATTGCATATGTGAATATTTGCTTGTAAAGAAATATTATAGGATGGATGAAAAGATATCTTAGGAAAAAGTATGATACTAAGCATGCAAGATTATAAAAAGAAGTTATAGTATGGATATTGCATATTAGCAAACTCCAAAAAGACAGTGAAAAAAAATTAAATTATTCAAGAAATTCATATTATTTTAATGATGATATATACAAGTCAAATCCCACATTTCTTTCATGAGTTAATGAATCCATATATTTAACTTCCTTGTATCTAATGAGGTAAAAGTATAGTGTCTTGTCCAAATCACATAAGTTCAATTTAAACCAAAACTGAAGAGACAATGGAAACAGTGACATGATTGAAGAGAAAAGGAACGTAGATTTTGGAATGACCTAATATATATATATATGTTGTTATGGAAGTTTATGCTGTTGAGCCCTTTGGGAAAGAGCTGCAAAGGAGCTTAGAGAACAAGAGGCGCATGTGGGACAACCCTCCGCAATTCCTTGAAACTATTGCCGATGCTATTCGGACGCAGCAGGTGAGCCGAACTGGAATTCAGCATGTATGACAATTGATTGATTTTTTTTGTGTGTGTGTGTGTGTGTGTGTGTGTGTGTGTGTGTGTGTGTGTGTGTGTGTGTGTGTTTACATATGTTTGTTTGTTTATTTTACATTAGTTTTGTTATTTATTATTTATTTTGCATGTGTGCTAGAAGAGTATATGTGTGTTAGTCTGTTTGTATGCATCTATTTTTGTTATTCTTAATATTTATAGATAGCTGCTAGTAAATAAAAAGCTTCTCAGCTATTAAAGAATAAATAAAATAAAATAAAAAATGACAACAGCACATAGAAACATAGCAAATCTCAGTCGACTGATATTATTGGTGTAGCAGATTATCCACATAACATTAGTCTCGATAGTTTGTTTCTCATTGAACATATATCGTGCCCTTGTTATCTCCTTTATTTAACAAATATGAGAGTTATATAGTTCATTTTTTTCCTTTATTTTTCTTTTCTTTTCTTTTCTTTTTTTCTCTTCTCTTCTCTTCAGTTCTCTTCTCTTCTCTTTTCTTTTTCTTTCTTTTCCTTTCTTTTCTTTTCCTTTCTTTTCTCTTCTCTTGATCCGTTCAAGGTATGTTGTTATAGGTTATTTGCCTATGATCTCAGACATGGTCCAGATTAACCAAATTTTATCCATCTTTGGAACGAGGTTGATAAGATAGACTACTATTCAAGATAATTTAATTTGCAAGTATGTCTGACATAAAGTTCAGGGTGCATGCTGTCATAATCGAGTTAGATTATTTTTGTTCTCTCTCTGTTTATTTTGCTTTCACGAGTCAAATGTAACAGCTGCAGGAAAATGTTTCACAGGGTGTTGCTTTCTTTGAAAAATCATTTGTTTGTCAGGGAGGAGTTATTGCTTATTTGCCATTATCAATAGGTGTTCAGAGAGATTAAGAGCATATGCTTACTGGTATCTTTGTGTAATTCTATGTTACAATTTAGAAATTTGATGCAAATATGATAATAGAAGATGAATGGGAAAGAATGAAGACCCTTTTGTTAACCCATTGCCGCTGGGGATGGCATGTACGGACATGCCATGCCCACTGTGAGTCGACTTGTTCGATTGTTTTTACACATAGATGGATACACTTGTACTAAGTATCCAATGAGCCAATTACGAGTACTGCCTGTCTCGCCCGTTCACCCTTTTCATCGATTTACGAAAATATTTAACGTTATCCTAATTTGCTGTTAAAAATAACACCATCTATATTTATAGCACTAGTAAGAATACGTTGTTTCCCGCCAATTCAAGGAAAGGTGAAATCAGGACTAGCAGAGCCATCTATGGACAGAGATTTTTCAAAAAAATATAAAAAATGAGTACTGCATTTCCCCCATTTTTTGTTCATTTTCCCCGGCGGCAATGGGTTATTACTTATTTTTATAGAAGTAAGTTGTATAGAATATGTGCTTTGCAGTGTTTGCTGTTGAGCCGGTAGGAAAGGACCTTCAAAGAAGTCTTGAAAGCAAAGAACGTTTATGGCCCAATCCAAACAGGTTCCTGGATACAATAGCAGATTCTATTAGGATTCAGCAGGTGAGGAAGTGGATACTGAGTATCTGTGTTGAATCTCATACAAGTTAGGGATGTTTTTGTTGGGTTGTGAATTCAGTTGTGTACAGTTTAAAGGGGGCATTGTGTGTGTCTAGTCAGAAAATAGTAAAGGCATGTGGTTGGTTTGGTAAATGT